TTTTTTTTCTTTTAAAATGATTTATCTGAGAAAAGTTTTATTTGCGCAGCTTCAGGGAACGGGAACTGCTTTAATAAAGCAATTTCTATTGTATGTCTGTACCTCTTGAAGCGACTACCTTTCATTAGTGCTTTTCAGACAAAATTCTATTTAGTGAATCAGGGAGGAATTTTCTTATAAGGGGAGCCTAATGACCGTGACCTTTCAAAACAAGAGACATATTTTTAGATGCGGCCTGAATTGTTGCAAATCTGTCTTTCACATCTGCTAAACAATTCTTTGAAGGAAGTTATGAAAAAATTTTACGCGAAAAAAATGTGTATAATTGGCAATCACTCTAAAACCTAAAAATCAATTAAAAGATAAAGCAAAAGCGCCATACTGCCATATGTATTACTCTAGTCAACAGATGCTCTGCCTATTAGAGCGAATTTGAGTATTCGAGCAATAAATGGCATGAAGTGCAAGCTACTTCTTATGGAAAGAATATCTTAACATCGTCCAGAGAATCGTTTAGCATATATGGGAGGCAGATTTGAAAGTGGCGTATTAAGCCGCATTCAAAAATATGCCCTTGTTTTGAAAGGCTACGTTTATTAGGCATCTTTCCCTTAATAGACTAGTGCATACATGAACCAAAACAATATTATCACAAAAGGTCGCAACACAAATCCTAAGACTCATCAAAAAGCTCATTTGCTGAGAGTTATGTCATCAATCTTATGAAGACTTGCAGAAATCCTATCGATTTTATTGGGTTTGACTAATGGCACTGTCGTCATAAAATTTCCGCTGCCGACCTTAGCATTTACTGCAGGGCTTTTCCGTTCAGTTCCTTCATGCAAAGGACTTAGAATGGGGCGTCTGCTTCTGAGCTGACTATTGCTCAGCCTGTGAGTCTTCAGCTGGAGAAAGGGGAAAGACGCTCACAAACTTCCTGAACCTGACTCTAAGCAGTACCGACTGCTAGTGGTATAAAAAAGAAAAACTTTTACCTATCTACCTGACGACCTTCAAGAATCAGACGTGGAAGTAAGACCATTAGGAAATCAACCGCCTCCTTTCCAGTGAAAGAATCGTCGAAATAAGTTAGCTGACGACGATGCCTTTTGACTGGCATTTCTTCACGAAAGTGTCGAACAATATTGTTCCACTGTTAACAATATATCCGCCTTTAGGTTAAACAAGCTATGACCTCAATAAAAAAAGAACTATAAACCTACCAATGTAGTGGCTCTGTACTTTTTTCTGTACTCTTCTCCATCATGGAACGCGATCAAAGTTTTGTCTGAGTGTCTTGAAGGAGCGGCTCTATTCAATGCTGATTTGTCGTCAGACATTCAAGAAATTCTGTAATAAGATAAAATGCATTGTTCAGAATATAGCTCAATATGGAACTGGTCCATACCAGCTCCATACATGCAATAAGGGCATGATTGAGTGTTTCATGGATTCGAAGATTTCACTTTATTTTCCACAATCCCAATACAACATAACATTCCTATCATGTTCT